CCTGCCACACTCGACGGCGATTTAAACAACCCGAGGCAAGGCGCCAAGTTAGCGCGGCTGGCCCGGCTCTAAGCTGGCGGCTGCTCTTCCCGACTCACCCCGCCATCCACGGGTGGGGGGAGGGGAAGGTGAAGGGTTTGGCGCGGTTAAGAGTCCCCACGTGAGAGGGGTGAAAGTCCTTGCCAAGAGCGGGGGATGAGCGAGCGGCTGGCGGGTCCCTTCCATCACGGAAGACTAGACACCGTTTGATGTGTTATGACATGAACCCTCAATTAGATCGCTGAGTTGAAACGCTCCAATCAGGGGCCCAATGCTAAGCAAGCCCCGGAAGGTCCAGTCCGAGGTCACCGCCGGTGACACATCAAATCAAAATCAGTGAGAGGGAAAGTGAGGCTTTCCCTTTATCAAGCTGGGGCTGCAGCCCGCCGTGTACCCCTCCTCTGGGCGCCTCCTCCAGCCCCCAGCTCAGTACTCCTTCGCCCCCGCGCGGCGTGCGACCAGCTCCACAGCCTTCCCAGCCAACGAGCTGCCTTTCTTTGCGTTTTCTGGGAACCTGAAGGCTGGGAGGAGATCGCACTTTGGAAACTGCGGTCCAGGTGGTCACGCTGCATCTCTTCCAGCTGCGGACCGCGCACAGCTCAGTCCTCGACGGTATTCGGGAGTTGAAGACAAACGTCTGGATCTTGGTCCGGCTAGCCTGGAGACCTTGGCTCACGAACAGAGGCCCCCCAGCCTGGGCATACAGCCAGTCCCTTCTCCACCTCCGGCGCCCGGGGGAGTCCAGCGCGATGCCCTGGGAAATGTTGGCCCGCTAGCTCGGGTGAAGCGAGTCTGAGTCTGCGCGGGGCTTGAAGCCCCCCAAAGACCCCTCCCGGGCCTTTGCGCACACACTCACGTGCGCGGGGTCGCACACAGCTCCCATCTTGCTTTAACGCTGCCGGCTTCCATAGACACCTCGGAACAGCCTGCAGGTTCCCTTGAATTGATGCCAAAGTTACTGGGCGCAGCGAACGAGTTAGGGGGTGCCTGCTTGGGGGAGGGGCGGAGATGCCTGCTACTTCGCATCCTGGGAAAGAAAATTAGCGCCCAATTGCCTCTTAGCCTTGGACCCAGGGAATTCTTCCCTTGGGGAACGACATCTTCAGCAATATTCTCCGAGCTTTCTAAAGCTCACCTTCTACTAGTGTGTCAGAGAAGGGGCTGGAAAGGACTGGAGAAAGGACGACAACAGAGGCAGCAAGGTGGGATGAAGAGAAATTGGTTAGCTGCCCTGGCAGCACTGAGGCGGGGACTCAGTTGCAGCGCTGTGAGGAAGCCACGTGTATTTGCAAAGGTGACTTCAGGAGTTCTAAAATCACCATAAAATACCCAGCGTTAATTTGCCCTGGGGATCTTTCAGCAGCTCATGAACCTCTCTGACCTCTGACTGCAGCGGCGAGCCGAGCGTGGGCAGGACTCCTGCCCCAGACGATGGCTACTGCGACAGAGGAGGCTGGGAGCTAGAGACCGTTAGAAGTCGAGGGGTCGGAAGGCACTTGCCTGCTCAGAAAAAAAAGTTTCGAGAACGTGCAAGTACAATAAAGCAGTCCGACCCAAGCAGCCCCCTCAGCCTGATCCTCAGCGCTCACAGGTTTCTGGGAGACCCTATTTCACAGACCTGCAAGCGGGAGACGAGGAACAGGTCAAAGGCGCAGAACTAAATCTGAGGAGGATGTTGGAGTGGGTAGCTGCTTCAAATCTCTTTTATTTCCTCCTTCCTTTCCTCTCCCTCTTTCCACCCCTTTACGTTTTTTTTCTTTTAGCTCCCTGCCTTTCCTGCGTTCCTTCCGCGTTATTGTCTTTCTTTAGGAGCTGAGTTTCTGGCGCCCAAGGGTCCCTCCCCAAATATCTGGGGCCCCGGCAAACATGAGGATGTCTTGTAGGCACTCGCGCCTCGCAGTGGACCCAGCGGGGTCACAAGGAGGGGGCGCTGGGGTTCCCGCAAATACCCACACTAGCAGCGAGGCTAGGGAGAGGGTTCTCCTGGAAGTGCAGAAAAAGGAGTGTTGTCTGACTAACAAAGTTAGCGGAGCCTCCCCACGCACTCTTGCGGATTAGGTGCCATAAAGCCCATGCTGAACTGTTCCCGTCGCGACCCGGAGCCCACTCTGCCAGTTCCGCCCGCTGCCTCTTGCAGGAAAGAATCAGTTGCGACCTGAAAGCGGCTAAGAGCGCTCTGCGGGAGAAAAACAAAACAACCGAGGACTCGGGGCTCCCGACCGCTGGGCAAGGCTCACACCCAGCGCGAAAACAAGCCGAGCGAGAACCCACGCAGTGGCTGGACCTGGGCAATGCCAGAGGCGGCTAGCGGATTCGCTGCTCCAGCCGCGGGACTTGCTCCTGCAGGCTTTCCCTGCAGCGGAACGGAATTCTGGATTTTCCAATGCTCACTCATGTTTCAGAGCCCACCCGTTCGGACCCAGCTGCTCAGGACTGAGCCTGCGCACCCCGCACAAGCCCGGACCCCGTGGCACACATTCCGGAGACCCCTCTCCAGCCCCGGTCATTTGCCTTCACCTCCCGCCCTCTATTCTCCCACCACCAGCCGCGCGAAGAGCGGCCGCCGGGCTGCTTTCTGCAAATACGAGAGGAAGAAGACAGGGGGAAAAAGAGGGAAAGAAGGAGGCGAGGAGCAAAGAGCTGCAAACTGGAGTAAACTCGGCTGCATATTCAGAAACATACTAGGGCTGGGGGAAATTTTTCAGAAGAGAAAGAGGGAGGCGTCCAGATCGGAAAGGTAATTCACAAATGCAGGCTCCGGCCCGAGCCGCAGCTGAGACCGGGCAGAGAGCTCCAGGGGGAGGAAGCAGGGCGTCTTCTTTGCCACTTACCTAGCCCCCTGTCTACAAAGCTAGTGATGGTATTAGCCGACTTGGAAGACTGGAAAAAGCTGGCGTTGATGCCCAGCTTCTCGGCGATGGAGTAAGTCCTGTATATTGACAGCATGTACTCGTGGGGCACCACGCGCGGCCCCCTTCCAGGCGACTCTTGTGCGGGGGGCTGCCCTGGCGGCCGCCGCTGGGGACCATCCCGCGGCCGCGGCTCTGGCTCCTGGCGCTCCACGGAAGCCCGGGCCGCGGCACTCTCTCGCTGCGCCCGCGGCATCTTCCCTTCCTTGCGACTTCGCACGCCCTTGGCGGAGCCCAACTCAGCGGACGAAGAGGACGAGATAGAAGCTTGCTGGAAGCCGGGCAAATCCCACAGGAAACTGATGAGGAAGACGGCCGACAGCAGGACCCTGGGCGTATCCATGGCGAGCGAGGGGCTGCGTCTCCCGGAGAGGTGGCGGCGCCAGGCGCGAGGGGCACGGAGCGGCTGGACAGCGGCCGGGGCCCGGCTCCTCCCGCGGACTAGGAGAGCGAGGAGCCGGGTCCCAGCCACACAAACCCCGGGCCTGCCACGCCCCCTCCCGCCCCTCGCCGCGAGGGGAGTGGTGAGAGCCGAGGGGTGGGGAGCAGAGGGGGTGGGAGGGGAAGGCCGGGTGGTGCGGGCAGGAGGTGTGGGGGAGAGGGGCGGCGGCGCGCTGGGGTGGCAGCGAGACGCAGCGCCCCCGTGGGGCGCGCACCGGGCTGCGGGCTGAGCGCTGGAGCCCGCCCGGAGCACTGGGTTGGCGAGGGCGGACGCCACCGTCCCGCCGCGAGGAAACAAGGGTCCTCCGCAGCGCCGGCGCAGCCCTCGCGTGGTCCACAGCTCTGCGCCTCCGCCGCGCAGTGCCGGATCTGGGTCTTGACAAGATGCCCGCACTTTCCAGCGATCTTGCAGCCGGGGAAGGAGGAAGGCGGCGGCGGCGCCCCCCACAGACAGCCGAGAGCAGGCGCCTCTGCGGCGGTCTTGCTGGCTCCGTGGTGGGACTTTTCCTTTCGCGGCCCGAGACCCAGGTGGGCCGTTCGCTGCCCTCAGGGACCCTGTCCAAGGCCAGAGAAGCCCCGCCGCCCGGTCAGCGCAGGCCCCGCCTCGGAAGCACCCTATCATCTCTGTGGGGTACCGCTCTCCACAAAGACAGGGCGTCTGGTCCCGACCCTCAAGGTCAGGCAAAGGCCACAGTCTTGAGAGTCTGGATGGATGCTAAAAACTGCTGGCTCTCTTGCAGGCCCCAGTCTCTCCTCTCGCCGTCCCCAATATCTTCTGACACTTCATTGCTCCGTGGTCTGCTCCCTAGTCCTCTTCCCGTTAGAGGCCTGCCCCCCTCATCTCCACAGCATCCCCATTTTCCCTCTCTTCTTCACCTCCCGCCTTCAATACTTCCTCCTTTCCCAAGTTCCTTCTGCATTCCAATCCCTCTTCCCCAGCCTGCTTTTCTTCTCACACTGCCCTCCCATCTCACTGCCTTCCCACCCTCCCTTTCCTCGGGTCCCCCTCCCCTTGCAACGGACCCCTCCCTTTGTAACTCTTCCCCAATCTGTTTCTCTTCAGCCCAGCCTCGCCCCATCACGAGTTTCCTTTATCTGTCCCCAGATTCCCCGTGCCTGTCTTCCCCGCCCACAGCCTCCACAGCCTCGCTCAAAACGCTGGAAGGAGAGGCGGAGGGCACTTCTTTCCCACAGAGCTCTATGCCCTGGAATGCAAGAGAGATCCTCTATGCATTTGTTTCCTACTTGGGCACCAACAGTAAAATGTTCTCTTTTAATTGTGCCAGCAGCTCTGGGAGGTTAGATTTACTGTTTTCACTGTCAGTGATTAAACAGATGAGACAGAGGGGATAGATGACTTTTCCAAGAACACTAGGCCTAGAGGTCATGCAATAGCGTGACCAAGCCCAGGATCAGACTCCAAATTCTTCCCACAGCAGCACAGAAGAGTGGATCCCTGGCCTAACATCTTTATTTGATTTATTGGGCTTTTTTCTCTTACGGCTTTATTTGCTCACAGATGATCCCTACACACACACACACACACACACACACACACACACACACACATTGCTTTGTCTGTGTTCCCGGCCTCATTTATTATCCCCAGTCCCTCTCACTTTCTCCCTCACTCCTTTTTTTTCTTTTTATTCCTTTTTCTGTATAGAGGGACTAGTCTGCTGACAAGTTTCAGAAGAAGGGAGTTTTGTTTCCTTCTGCCCTTTATTGTTTAACTACCTTAACCATTGGGTGGGCTATGCTCTCACCCCTGGGCACAGGCCTCTAGATAATGGCAAGCGTGCAAGAGAACATGTGTGTCAGGAGGACTCTAAGCCCTTTACATATAGTATTTCATTTCCTCTTCAACACAGTCTTATAAGTACTATATTAGCCCTATTTTTCAGATAGGGAAACTGAGGCCCAAGGTCAGACTGCTCCAGAGTCTGGGCTCTTCACCACTAAGCTACTGAACTGACTGTTCTCCTCTTGGCCTCCTATGAGGATGCCTCTCTGGGCTTATCCCAGACCTATAATGTTCCCTGTTATAGTCTCATGATTGTCAAGTTCTAAGACTTTTAAGTTCAAATCAACCAACCTTTTCTCCTGTATTATCTGTGTTTTATTTGTTATTTACCATATTAACAATATATGCATTTATTGTAATAAAATAAATTTGAAAATTATAGTTACAATCTAATATAGACAGAGTAATATTATTTACTATAGTAAAAACAAACAAAAATATAACTATAGAAACAACTCTTTTCTCAGATATTTATTTGCTATTCTAAATCAACAATGCTTTGGCCTTTTTAGGTTCACCTCCATTCTTTCTTTGTTAATACTTTAATTTTTTTTTAAGATTTACTTTTTTATTTATACAGAACTGAGGTACAGGCCAGAGGCGCGGGGGCGATGAGAGGATTCACCAGAGACAGAGTGGGGAGCAGAACAGGCAGATCATGCAGAGTAGAGAGCAAAACACCAGACTGACGAAGTACACTGCTGAGGGGAGCAGCGGGCGGGTCAGGAGAGGTCTGCTGTGCCAAGTGGATCACCTCCGGGGCAGGCAGGGATCGAACTCATGGGGAAGTGGCTTAGCTTCTTAGTGCTGTGCTTTAACCCGTTGTGCCACCAGGGAGGGCCCGCATTTTTGCATTATTGCACTCCAGATACAGATACTGTGTTATGGCCTTCCCTTGTCACTTAACCATGTGCCCAAAGCATGTCTGCCGCTTCTCTTCATTTTTTGGTTTGGTTTTTGTATTATGCCAAGAAGTTTCCTTCACCTCTGTCCTGATGCCCTTCTGCTCCCCTCTGCAAATTTTCGTCACCCCTCCACTGGACTGCACAGGCCACCTTTGCAAAAGCACAGATATAAAACTCCTTGTTTTTTCTGTATAGAAGCAAATTTCCCCCCTACCCCTACCTGCCACCCCTGGGGTGCACATGGTCGGGTCTGATCTGCTCTGAGCCTTGCTCCCTACATCCATCTCTGGATTGCCATCCAGGACACTGCCTCCTGTGGTCTTTCTCCATCCCCTCCCTTGGGAGAAATGAACAATTGTGGTTTTCCTTATCGGCATTTTAATTTCCAGCAACGTGGAGTCTGGGGAGTGATGATTCACGGCTTCAGACCCTTTATTCCAATAAGATTGTTTCCTGCCTGCCGCTGCTTCCCTGCTTGTTCTCTCTTTGTTTTGCCCACAGCAATTGTTATCTTCTACAAGTTATCGGTAAACAGGAAACAAAGTAATGAACCTATTTGCTGTGGCTTCAGAACTCTCAGCACATTACAAGGAGTCATGTATAAGAGTGAATGACTCTGATGCTGGGAGCACAGAGGATGTCTGTCGTCTTCCTCCAGGCCTCAGGATTCCTCTGGCAGGTTGGACTCTCCTTTGTTGCTACCGGCCTCTGGTCTATGCGGGGACAATGCTGCTGCCTGTGCCTGCAAGGGCTGCTGTCAGGTAAGTCACAGAGGGACAGACACACTCAGAAAGGGCACCCGAGTCAGACTCTAGCTGGGGTAGGGGGCTAGAAGCAAGGTTTTCTGACTCATAATCTAGTGCTTCCCTATCTTCAAAACAAAACAAAACAAAAAACAAAAAAGTCACTATGTTGACAAGCATCTACTGTAACAAACTCTTGCCTCTTCCTGTCTCATGGGTATGTTCCAATAGACTCCACCCCAGTATCAATTTGACCACTCCAAGGGGCTCGCTCATGCTCCCTCTTAAAAATAGATACCTGGTGGTACAACAGGTTAAAGTACATTAGGAAGCTCTTCACAGCCACTGCAGCACAAGTTCCATCCCTGGCCAGGGAGCTGACCCACATGGCTGGGCAGACCTCTCCTGGCCCGCCCGCTGCTCCCCTCAGCAGTGTACTTCGTCAATCTGCCTGTTCTGCTCCTCACTCTGTCTCTGGTGAACTCTCTCATCCACCACACCGCTGGCCTGTACCCTAGTTCTGTAAGCATAAATAAATAAATCTTTAAAAAAAACATTAAAAAAATAAATATACAAAGAGCAAGCTTCAAGTCAAAGTCTGCCTTTAGATCTCAGAACATTTTACAAATCTGGAATAATGCTGTTAAATTTTCAATTTGGCCTTACATTTCCCTTCTAATTTTTCATCAGTTTTTTTCTATAAAGAACATTAAAAAGTGAGAGGCTCTTGAGCTGGAGCAAGAGAGTGCGGTATAGGCACCTTTCGGAGTTTAACTGGGGCACTCACTCTTGGTTAGATTTTTCCCCCTCACAAATAGAAGGAAACAGACAGCTAGGCAGTGTGGTATGTTCTGCCCCCTTGTGGACACTGAGGAAGTTACCGGAGCAGAATAAGTAATACAGGATGTGAGGATATTTATCGACATAAAATGAACAAGGAAAAGTGGTATCTATGCACGTGGTTTTAACAAATTAAGAAAGGCACATATAAATATGTATCGTATTTGACAATCAGACAACCATAAATGACAGCACTGCCTGCCCAGAGATGCAGCACCATAAGCAAATAGAATTACTCAGTTACTGCCTGAAATCTGTGCTGCTATTGTTTTCAAGCTGTTACTTCATATTGACTCAGGGAGAGAAGATTCTCTGAAACGAGCAGGGAAGCTTACCTTTTCTGTTGAAGTACCCCTAGAAGGCAGCTTTTATAGAAGTGACTACAGAAATTTGCCTTTTAGGAAGGGACGTGCCCACAGATGAAGTAACAATGAAATTATTGCTTTAGTTGGAGTTACTGATTTAATAAGATCCCAGTTAGAATGCAGGTGTCAGGGTCTCTACACATTTTTACTACCACCATTGCACTTTCTGAATATAATCTGAAAAGATTTGCTAACAGTGACCTATGTGGTCCAAAATTAAGACTGGTAGATTTCCACTCAAAGAG